CTGAGCGATAGTACCTGCACCGAAGTCAGCTGACTCATGTGGAAAAGCAGACTGATGACATGTAGCACTACTACCTTCCCAGCTGATGTGTCTGGAATTTCCTAATAGCTTGAGGCAATTTCCAGTCATTTTGATTACAGGGGCTGTTTACAACCTCCATTCTGTTTTTCTTTCAGAATAGAAATATGTTTACTTAGAAGTTTGTTTCGCTGCAATATATTGCGTCAAGCCACACCCTTTGTTGGGTACCTATGAACAAACTTAGTCAGAATGTCTTAAGAAAATTAGTCATTAGTCCTGCTTTGAGTTCATTCATAAAGTCCCACTATAGGACAGACTTTAAACGGAAAAATTCAAAACCTTTTTAAAGGCCTTGCAGGCCTCAGAGTCTAGTGCGCTCAATGCTATAGAACTAAAAAAAAAAATGAAACATACTTCTAAACATAGGTGCTGGACCACGCTACTTAGGGAAGCTGGCTTGTGGCCAAGTCTCTGAGGCATTCTAAGAAAAAAAAAAAAAGAGCTTTACAGAAGAAGCTGCTGTGCATAAAACACGCCAGCGCTCTTGTAGGATGTAGTACAGCTGCATTGAGAATACACTGCATGTGATGCTAAAGACTGCAGGCTGACATATTGGGACCACAGCTCAGTGATAGTGCAGCACCAGCCACAAAGTTTGAGCCAACTATTTATTTATTTATTTCATAATTGAGTGTTTAACATTGTCCACGTTTAGTTAGGCTAAAACATAGTTACGGATGGAACAATGACCACTTTTAATGATATACCACACTGTAAAACTCAAGAAGAGCTTGTGAGTTTGATCCCCGCTGATGCCACAGCCATCCGTAAGTGCGTTATAAGTCGGGGATGGCCCTCCCTGAGAAATGTGATGTTAACATCTGTTAGTTGAGGTAATTGGCAGTTAGCACTCTCCTTCAAGCTTGTTGAGTGGAAGAAAGGGCCACCTGACCCACCCGGAGAAACTTATTATGCACTTACAGATGGCTATGGCATCAGCGCAGATCGAACTTGCAAGCTCTTCTCGAGTATTACAGCATGGTACGTCATTAAAAGTGGTCATTGTTGCCTGGAATCAAAGAATTTGGGGTTGACTCCCAGCCCTAACTCTCGGGAAGTTGTCAGTATGTATGCTGATTGCCTACCAACACATCCATGTGTATTGTCTTCCATACACTGGGTGCAATCTTTTTAATAGGCAACTTTTGCAGGCAGCAAGCAAGATGAACAGTCGCATGCAAAAGTTTGTGAAATTCCAGGTTTTGTTGAATTCTGAAGTGAAAATCAGTTAAAACATTCTTTAGCGAGAACAAACATCAGCACATTTTAATACAAAGTTACTGTTTCGTTTGCTTAGAAAATGAAAAAACATAAAATGTGGCCTGTGCAAGAGTTTTATAGGCACATTTTTTGTGTAATGTTTTTACTCCCAATCTGATTTCCCAATATTCCCAATTTGACTTGAGAGTGCAAACTTTTGCATGCGACTGTATAATATTCAGAAAAGAGGATATTGTTAATTAGTTATATACTGCTTTTGATATGTAGTCTTGTTTTGTATAGTTATTGTCATTACTGTCAACAAACATTACAGTATTAAGTAAGTGCTGTAAATATTAAGTCTCTGTAGATGGTCAGGAATTGTTTTTTACAGTGTGGTATGTGCTCTGACCAGGGTGACAATCTGTATAGATCTGTCCAAAGATGAAATGAACACTTACGCACACAGAACTGGTTGTGCGAGATGGAGTGGTGACAAAAACAGAATGTCCTCACTTTGTAGTGCCACCCAGATTACACCCACAGTGTAATCTAGTGTTGTGGTCCAGACTCTAGGTATTTTTTGTTGTCTTCAACTTGTGTTGGACTCCATAGTAAATGTTCTTAGACCTTTCTTGGCTATTGGTCTCTCTGCCAATGTTAATGCTGATAGATAAACATTTATAGCACATAGAAATCACCTTAGCATTACGGAGAAATGTAACATATTTCTGTTGGGTGACATTCTGCACAGTAGCCCAACATCACCCAAACAAAAACTGGCTTCGTTACAAGCACTAAACCTTTAGCAGAGCTCAGTAACACAGAGATTAATGACTGATCATTACATTGATTTATCAGTCTACTCAGGCTTTAGCAGAGCTCAGTACCACTGAGATTAATAACTGATCATCACATTGATTTATCAGTCTACTCAGGCTTTAGCAGAGCTCAGTACCACTGAGATTAATAACTGATCATCACATTGATTTATCAGTCTACTCAGGCTTTAGCAGAGCTCATTCAGTCTTGTGCCCTAGCGTGAACGACACTTCCCTTCCACAACTGGATATTTCAGCCATGATCTCAACATCCAGTGGTCATGTGAAAAATAAGATGGATAGACTTTTCCATGTGCCTTGTTAATATTTATTCTACATGTATTCTGAATATGTCACTGAATATGTCAATATGTATTGTAAAGAAATATGTTGTTTTATAAATTTAGGATAGTGTATTCTACCCAACTCTACCCAAGTATGGCTTACTTTTAAATGACTCCAAAAACAATGTGAAAACACCAAGAAATTTGCACTGACTATTTCAGACTTGGTCTCGGCCTCGTTCTCATTTGAACCTGATCTCGAATAGTCACCTGTCTTGTGCCCTAGTGTGAGCGCACGCACACATACAGACTAATCACACAGGTGACTCTGAGATGACTCACTAATTTTAATTTTGGGTGCTGCCTCTAGGCCTGTTCACAGACTCTGTCTAGACTACATGTTCAATCACTCAGGCTAGAACTGGTTAATCATCTCATTAATCTTACTAACCACTGAACCACTTAAAGCAGGAGTGCCCAATCCAGGCCCTGGAGATCTACCACCCAGGAGAGTTCAGATCAAAATAATGTTCAGATGCCCCTGAAAGCCTTCATTGGCTGGATCTGTGTGTTTTGGAGCTAAACTCTGCAGGGTGGTAGATCTGCAGGACCAGGCTTGGCACCCCTGACTTAAAGGAATACTTCAGAGCTCTGCAGCATCTGCTGCATGTGTAATATCCAGTTAAACTCCAGAGCTCATGATTTTCATGCATTCCCTGGTATTTAGAAAACAACTAGAAGCCAACAGGAAGATACAGACGTTCCCCCTTTTAAGTCAGCATTGTAATATTTTTTATTAGTTTAATAAGTAGTTTATTGTAAACTAGACAGCAAAAATGTGTTTGCTATGCTAAATTGTAGCCTGTAAGACTGTACGTTTGTTTTTATCTACAAGAAATTATAAATAATATACTTCATTCATCTACTAACAATAATAGAAATATCAGCCATTGTGGATATGAATTTTATTGTGATTTATTTTGAATATTCATTTCCTATTGAATTCAGTCTGGATATTAATTTATTACATATTAAGCCTGAATATTACCACCATTATAACTTCATTCCAAGTAGTATTTTTATTCAAATTTTTGGATATTAATTTTAATATAACTTTATTCTGAACATGAATTTACTATGACCTCTTTTGGGATATGTATTATAAACTCTTTCAGGCTATTAATTAATAACTTCATTAGGCATTTTTATTAATTATTCTGAAACTATATTATAAAAATCAATTTTATTTTAATTTCATTCTGAATATAAATGTTAATTGCAACTGCATTCTATATATATTTATTATTGAATTCAGTATGGATATTTATTTATTACATATTGATCTGAATATTGGCATTATTATTACTTCATAATAGTAATTTTATACATATATTCTAGGTAGTAATTTTATTTTACCTTCATTCTGGATATTAATTTATAATAACCACTTTTGGGATATTAATGTATCATAAACTCTTTCAGGATATTAATTAATAACTTAATTTTTATTATGTATTATTTCTAGATTTCTAGATATTTATTTTATGAAAACTTCGTTCTGAATATGAATTTTATTACAACTGCATTCTGAATATCAATTTACTTGAATGCAGTATGGATATGTATGTATTACGTATTAAACTGAATATTGGCATTATTATTAAATAATAATATTCATAATAGTATTTTTTATACATTCATTCTGGGTAATAATTTTATTTTAACTTCATTCTGGATATTAATTTATTATGGCCTCTTTTGAGATATTCATGCTTTTGGGATATTAATGTACTAGAAACTCTTTCAGGATATTAATTAATAACTTCATTGATAAAATATTATTCTGAATATTTATTTCATTAGAACTTCATTCTGAATATTAATTTTATTCTAATTACATTCTGAATATTACTTTATTAAAATTTCACTCTGGTATTAATTGTATTATAACTTCTTTCAGAATATTAATTTATTATAAATGTAACTTTATCAGAATTCTGTGAACAAATATTACTTTTTTAGAACTTCATTCTGATTATTAATTTTTTTTATAACTTCATTCTAAATATTCATTTATTATACATTCCTTCTGAATTTTATAACAGTTTTATTATAACTTAATTCAGAATATTCATTTATTATTAATTCATTCTGGATATAATTTTATCCAAACTTTTTTATAGATACTAATTTATTAGTTCATTCTGGAGATTAATTTATTTAGAATGTCATTCTTAATAATAACTTTATTAGATCCTTATTCTAGATATATGTATTTTATTAGACCTTCATTCTTGTTGATGTCCTACAGCTTTCTCAGTCATTTTAAATCCAACTACAGCTGTGGTCATCGTTCTGGACACATCTACAGCTCTCTACTAAACATCTGAAAGCTGTGAGGGTGTACAGGCCTCACAGATTAGAATTATTTTATATATTAGTTTTCAATGCCTTTAATGATGTTATAATGACATGATTTCAAAACTCTTAAACAGTTGTGGGGTTATGAGAGTGAGGAACAGAGGTGTGGACCCGTCAGGGTTTAAGGGGCTTACTCACTCTCTCTCCCTCTCTCTCTCTCTCTCTCTCTCTTTCTTTCTCTCTCGGTCTTTAGACGACTACGATAACCCTGAGGTCCCTAAGCTGGAGAAGAGCATCAGTGGGAGCAGCCCGTCCCGGGACCGCCTCCTCCTCACCGTGGCAACGCTCTTCCTCATCGCGCTCTCCGTCTCCTAGCACCCACCTCTGGGACACTATCATGCCAACGAGGCCTAGGGGAATGTAGCGGACAACTGTGGGGTGAGGCCAGTGGGTGGGCCAATGAGGACTGAGGAGGAACTCAAACCAGAACGAACCTGAAAACAAAAACAATAAAAGGATGTGAAAGAGAGCATTTAGAGGTGACTGGACGTCGAACAAACACCAAGATTTCATCATTGGTGCTACCGTGCTGCACGCGTGCTAGCGGGATGCTAAGGCCTTCACGCATTAAACGGTGGAATCTGAACTTCACAATGAAAGCTTTGCCATTCAGCTCAAGCTGGACCATCAGACAGTGTGTGTTTGAGTGAGTGTGTGTGTGTGTGTTTATTTCAATATGCAAATGTGTGTTATTTACTTCATGCAAGATCACCCCTTCACTCTGATTGGCTGACAGCTCTATTACTTGTTGACTGGCAGGTTAGCGGTCGAGTTGAGTCGATGCTTAGATCGGTCCTAAAGATTAACGCTAAGCATTAAAATTCAAGTCGCTAGTGCGGAACAGCAGCCGCACAGTTCAGTTCCTGCACAGGCAATGCCAAGCCACATTGCACAGGCTCAATTTTGAGCGGTACCCAATTTTAAGCGCTCTGGTAAACCTGCAGGATTACCATGTATTTACAAACACGTCAGAAATAGGATTGCCTAATGCACTGCGTACGCTTATGGAATTAAACAGTCCAACAGCCAGAATCCCCCAACAACTTCAGAAAAACAGTCCACCTGTTTGTTTGGAGACATCTGCACAGGTTCAATATGCATTACAAACATGGGCCATCTAGTACCAAGGTTAAGGCAGTCTCACAGGGCCAGATTTCGTAATGAGAACATAAGGGGACGATTTTTGGATACTTCTGTACAGGTTCCACATCCATTATAAACATGGGCCATTTACCATGAGAAATATTGGGCTAAATAGGAACGTAGACTATTAGGGTGGGAACAAACTGAGTGTGAAATGTCTAAACCAGTCCAATGCCTTGTGAAAAGGCTTAAAATGGGGGTCAGTGGTGCACCCTTCAACATCTCATTAGCACACAGATGTCACGTAAGTTAGCATGGCTGGAATGTTCCCCACAAACTCCAATTAAGCATGCAAATGTTTTGCTTTCGTCATTGATTGTACTTTGGACGTTGGAGAGAATTTGGGGGCAGGTTTTAGAGAAGACGTACCCTTGTTTGCGGCAGATATTGCTGCAATCCAGTAATTTGGAAGCATCTGTGCAGATTCCACATCCATTATAAAGTTGGGCCACCCAGTATCAAGATTAGACTTATTAGGTTGGGAACAAACTGAGTATGAAATTTCTAAACCAATCCACCATCTCATGAAAGAAGAACTGAAAGTAGGGGACGTTGATGTGCTCGTCAGTCCAATGGACGACAACGTGATGCAAGTTAGCATGGTTAAAAGTTCCTCCCAAAAATCTCAACTTAAGCATGTTGCGTGTTAGAAGAACACATTATACGCAGTAAAAATAAACATTATCTTGTGTAAAGGAGGAACAGTTCCATGAGCTAAAAACAGTGTTTTGCAACTGTTTTTTTCTTGTAATATTGATTGTGCTTTGAATGTTAGAGAGAATTTGTGGCACGTTTTTAGAAGGCGTAAACCCTTGTTTCCCTCAGATTTCATCACAATCCAGCTAGCTAGCTGGTGTTGCTTGCGATATCAATTGTGCTAGAGATGATAGAGAGAATTCGGGGTGGGTTTTAAAAGGGGCACATGATCACATCTCTCCCCACAGGACAGGTTTCACAGAAAACCAGATTTTCAGAAAACCAGTCCATCTGTTTGTTTGGATGCATCTGCACAGATTCTTCATCCATTATAAACCTGGGCTATCTACTACCAAGGTTAGGAGAGTCTTGTGCGGATTTCGAGAATGTCTCAGGGACAACCATGAAAAATGTTGGGTGAATTTGGGTGGGAATGTAGAATTACTAAAGTGAGAATAAAATTTCAAAACCAATCCAAAGTCATCTGAAGGCGGAGCTCAAAGTAGGGGGGGCAACGGTGCCCCCATCAACATTGTCCAGAAGACAACAAGCCATGGATGTAACGTAAGTTAGCATGGCTGAAAAGTTCTCTCAGAAAACTCCAGTTCTGCACGTAGATTTTGTGTGTATGAAAAACACTGTAAAAATAAGCATAGCTAGCTAGCTTCTTTTGCTTGGACTCTCAGTTGTACTCTAGCCAGTAAAGAGAATTTGGGAGTGGGTTTTAAAGGGGACCTACACTTATTTGCAATGTGTTTTGCCACAATCCAGATCCAAATGTTTAACAAATTGTCCCTAGATGTTCGTTCTCATTACAAGATCATGAAACTTGAAGTTAAACGAAAGCCTTAACTTGTAGCCTTAACAGAAAATGACAACAGCATAGCTTCAGCAGATAAGACTGCCACAATTAGTCAACAACGTCAACAACATTGTTTTTGGAAGTTATTGTGTTGTTTATTTTAAGCATAAATGCTTTAGTAATGCTCTATTATGTCAGTAAGCTACATGTGGTCATTTTAACAGACTGCAATACACTATAGGAAGCATAGGGGGCGATGTGGCTTCTATTTTAAAGCAAAATAAAGGCTTCAATTTCAAGCGGTATCCAATTTCAAGGCTCTAGTAAACCTGCAGGATTACCATGTATTTACAAGAATTGCCTAATGCACTCTCCATGCTCATGGAATTAAAGTGTCCCCAACTACTTCAGAAAGCCAGTCCAGTGGTTTGTTTGGATCTGTTTCACTTACATAATAAACACAGGCCATCTAGTGTCAAGGTTAGTATTGCTTTCACCCATGAAGGGTTTTTACAGTTTAAAAATCTTGTAGGCAAATCTTTATAAAAACGTTAACAGCATAGCTTCATGAATAGGGCTGCATAATTAGCCAATAAATTTGATTAGTAGCCGTCATTGCTGATTACAGACTAGGGCTGTAGGGCTGGCTTGACTCTGTTGAATACTCAAGTATTTGTTTATGTTCTATTTAGTATTCATAAGTATATAAGGAAGGTGAACACAACTGTGTACAAGTTTAGCGCTTTATTGCCACTGTATTTGGCCACAGCTTGCCTCACACATGGTCGGAGTGCTAACAGACCCCGACCCTCCAAACCTCAAACGCACAAGCCCAAGTCCCCAGTTCTTCCCATGTTGCAGCCAAACAGTCCAGTCCAAGGGCATAACATTGTGGCCTCCAATGCCACTCACCACAACAAGAGTACATATATATATATATATATATATATATATATATATATATATATATATATATATATATGGAGAGATACAACTGAAATTCATTCTTATCACCTCATCCTATAGTGCAACAAACTGTACCACTGTCCACGTGGCCACTCAAGTTAAAAGAGTGAAGTGCAAGTAACCATATTCATATAAATAACTTATTCATCTCTTTTATTCTCTTTTTATTATCTATTTAAACAGTTTTCTAGCAGGTTTAAAGCACAAACAGCAGATCTGTTTACTGTGAAGAAAATCACAAGTTTTTACTGCTGTATCACAAAAGAGTCTCCTCCACACATTGTTGGTACAGCACAGGAGCTGCAAGGCAACAACCTCATAACCCGAGTTAAGTATCGTTTTAAACATAGTTAGAACGCCACAGAAAGTGGTCATGTGGTTTGTGTGGATCTCTAGGGAGGTAACACTTGCAAACAGGTGGGAAAACATAGACTCGACACATCTATTTCATCAGAACATTGTTACGGCCTACTGGATATATTCTGAATGGCAGTAATAAACATGCTTAAAGGGATGGTTAATTATGAATCATAAATATTATTGGTTTAAAGGTTTTTAAGAGTACTCAAAGCTTGTAAAATGCTATTCAGGCCAGCCTTGTCATTTATTTAAGAAGAAAGTGCTACATTAAACTCTGTTACATTAATAAACTACAAGCAGTCGATCTTACAGATTGCAATACACTGCCGGAAACATCGGGAGCGAGTGTGGGAGGTGGATTGGTTTAATAGGGTGCAGTAATATGGTTACTGTTTACTTGCACTGTAAAATTAGACAGATTGCAATAGACTGCAGGAACCACAGGGGGTGATGTGGCTGCTAATCATTGCACCGTCCAGTTAAACAAATTGCAATATAATGCAGGAACCATATGGGGGCAGTGTGGCAACTAATTAACTGCACTGTTTAATTGAACACATTGCAATACACAGCACAAGGGGGTGATGTGGCTACTAACTAATTGCACCATCAAATTTGACAGATTGCAATGCACTCCAGGGACCACAGGGGGCAATGTGGCTACTATATATATTATATATACAAAAGCCTTTGTCAAGAGAACAGCAGAAGGTTTCACAGTTAAATTAGTCGATTATTCAAATAATAGTTGATAGATTGATTGATTATAGAAATAATTGCTAGTTGCAGCCCTGTTCATGGTACATGACAGCTCAGTTTCTCCTTCAGATCAAGTCAGTTCACTCAATCATCGATGAAATATTGTAGCAATACTGTTCTTTGTGAGAGAATGTGCTTCTTGAATTCATCCCATGGATCTTTTGCGATGTGTGTGAATGTGTATGAGTGCACTTGGAGCTGGATTTGGGATGGTCATCTAAGGCTGGTGATGCCAAATTGTTCCATGTTCAGCCAGACCTGGACTGCATTCTCTACACCGAGGATTCATCTTTATGGACTTCAACATGAAGATAGACACATATAGACTCAACCTGAATATAACGGTGGACGACCGGATACTTTTTCAATAAAAAGAGCAGGAGCTCCAGTGAATTCTGGGAGATCAGACGGATTCAGCCTGGAACAAATCGTAAACGCTCATCAGTAGTTACAAATATTGAGTACAGTCTGTTTTCTAATGCTAAACTCGCACACAGCTAACGTCACACCTACGACAAGGACAACTTCAAGAACAACAAAGTAATCTCCGAATGGGCCGACAAATGTTAACATACAGTTTTGCTATAATTACATGCAAATAAGTGCTTTGGGTTTGGGAGCATATATCTTGACAACATTCTCTTAATGACACATACTGTCCGTCAAAACTTTGGGGACAACTAGCTTTTTTTAAATAAATGAGCATGTTTTCTTTGTTGGTTTGCGATAACTTACATATTAAATAGAAAGCTGTTTACATCTTGCTTTTTTTGTACAAAAGCTGCAAATCTGAAGAAAAGACCATGCATTTTATCCCCTTGATGTGATATCAGCACTCAAACCTTTCAGGTGTTTTTGGGCCATCTTTGGGCCAAAAGACTTTGAACATGTACTTTTAACAAGAGTTTGGAAAAGAAAACTGTCAAATCATTATTACAAACCTGCTCTTTACACCAAGAAGGCATGTTGAAGCTAAATATTAGCCAAGGGTTAGCACATCGCTGCTTCATGCTAACAAAAGTTGTAGGTATTTTCCTCACCATAATTGACAAATTCATGCTCCGCCCACAAATGCGTTCTGTAGTTGCTACTCTTGCTAGGTTGAAAAAGTTTTACAAAATTTTTGCAAAACTCGAATTGTTTCTCTAGGTTGTCAAAATCAAGCCACTTGACTTTATTGACTTTATAAAGTCGTGCTTCCTGCTGTTGTCGTAATGTTTACATTACGTATATATGGCAGTTAGCTAGCTATGCTAAAACTTTCTGCTTGGCTTATCTATCAGAAAGATAGTTATTTCCTAAAAACCTTAATTGCACAACAACTAACTATCCCTGTAGCATACTCCAGAGGCTAGCGGAACGTTCCGTTAGGAGTTCGACATTTCCCATCGGCCACAGTGGATGTTTAGTACTTGTAGTTTAAGTCCTGACGTGCCTGTTAATGCACAACAACAACCAAAAGAAAACAACATTGGATGCTTTAGCATGTGTTCAGAACACTTTTATAATAATGGCTAATGCTATAGCAAGAATATCAGTTATTTCTGCACAGCTGCATGCCATAGCGTCGCTAATACACTACACTAATTTTGCCATGAAGCATGGAACATTTTTTTCCCTAACACGAACATAAACATAAACCGATTTGAAACAAACAGCCACAATTTACATACTATTTTGAATGTATTAACTGGGTTGTAGGCTACAGTTTCTTATTATGCTGAATGGATTTTTGTTAACGTTCTGTAAAGCTTGTAAAACCTGGCAACAGAACGCATTTGTGGGTGAAGCATAGACGAAAACACGACGAAAATCAAGCGTTAAACGGAAGATGTCCCCAAACCTTCGAAGGACAGTGTACTTTCTCTTTTGACTTCATGCC